TATTATTTCATTTGCAAATAAAAGAAGACAGGTCTCATTAAGGGGAAAGGAGAGCGAAACATCTCCATTCCTTTAAGTTTAAGTAAACATTTGTGAATAGGTTGGTTCAGAAACCTGAATTGCTTAAGAATTTAAAGTAGTTTTTTGGAAAATGAAAGAACTAGATTTGTAATTCTACCCAAACGACCCAACTTTTTTCACAGTTTCTACATTAGTTAACTATTATAATAAAACACATAATGGTGGAAAGTGAAACAATCTTTTAATAATGGAATAGTGGTAGGAATATCTTCTTGTTGAAGCATATACGATTATTTGATTATTTCCGTGGCTATTTTTGAGTTTCTGCTTAAAATTAAATTGTCTATCTGTTGTTAAATTGTTTATTTGTTAATTAGCTAGCAGAGGTAAATTATTTGAGCAGAGATAAAAGTTAAAATAATTGTCAATTAAATACGTTTGAGTTATGAACAAAGGTGTTAACGTCGACAAAGGTTAGTAGCCGCGTACATATCTAATGACCGTACAGAGCTATAGCCTTTATACATAATACATTAATATGTATATCATATATACATATATAGAGAATATAGAAGTGTAGTAGCATCGATGAGAGTGCACAACGTTTGCAAATAGCTAGGATGGTGGTGAACGTATCGGTTTACAGGTTGCCGCTCGTGGTCTATGATAGAAGCATAGTTGGCATACCGAGCCTTCCTCGCATGGTATGTTATAATTAGAGCTTCTCTGCACGCACGCAACATTGATATGTCCACGACGAGAATCGAAATACTTCCTTAATAAGATGAGACCGATAAACAAAGGGTTAAATGCTTGCTCAATCTTCGAAATTCGGTCCTCGATCACACTACTGATTACGTTTAAGCATATACGAATTATTAAATATAAGAAATATTTTAGAGCTTTTGTTTTAATCGAAATCGATTAGCAATTGCAGCATAAACTGTAAAGCAGATTTGCCTTATATTCGGGAATAAGTTATGACAGTAATCGTTTTGTCTTCTTACGATTTTCCACTTTTATTGATCTCAATCCCTTTATTTGCATATACGTATGTATTCTAAAGTTACACGCGTGAAATACAAACGCTATGCGTTCTTCTATTCATGAAGTAATTCCTATGCGAGATCTTTTACCCGAACGTAAGAGAAGTTTTATTTAAAACTATCGTTAACTTAGAATTCCCAAAGTATCGTTTTATATTTTCCATTTGGCTTTTTTCTTTCTTCCTTCTCTCTCTCTCTCTCTCTCTCTCTCTCCCTTTCTGTTTCATCGATGTTATCGAATCGATAGAGACTTCGTGGCATGCTCGCTTCGTGCCACTGGCACACGCGTATGCATTGTATATATATATACACGTATATCTATGTAGGTACGTGTACTGAGATCGTAACGAGAACGATTTATAGTTAGTTGCATCTCGAAACACGGCAGCAGTTGATATCGTTAAAACGGGAGAACATTTCTATTTTAGCAACAATATGCAGCTGTTTCAGATTAAAACGTATTTCATCGGTAGATTCTATGAACGTGTCATGTTTCCTTGGTTGTCTCTCTCTCAACGTCTCACTTTCTTCCTCTCTCTTTCTTAATATTAAATTGATTTGATGCACGCTAAGACTGTAAATCGTAAAAAGCTATAACGCAATAAAGATCTTAAAGATGATTTTGGAGTTTAGAGGAGCACGCGGAACCATAACAGCAAATTATTTGGTGCAATGTTAAAAAGTCGTCTAGCATTGAAAACAAATAGGACTTTGTGTTGCTTCAGCGGTTGCGGTGTTCTTTCTGACGTGCTCCATGAAGTTGCGGTTTCACGTCGGTTTGCGGTAAGTGTGCTACAGCTGAATTCGGAACGCATCTCGTCAAGTGAAATTCTTCGAAGAACAAATTTTGCCGTCTCTCAATCTCCTTTTCTTTCGTCCTTTCTTTCTTCATCTTCTTTTTAGCCTTTTCCTTCTACTTTCCTTCTATTTTCAAACAGTAGGACAACCAATCTTTTCTCTTTTTTACATTCTCAGAGCATAGCTGAGTTATTTATCCTTCCCAATGGAACTTACAACGCGGGACTTTTCCTTCGGTTTCTCTCTCTTTCTCTCCGTCTTTCTTTCTTTTTTTCTCCATTTCCAACCGCCATTATCTTTGCGTCCATTTGAAGGAGAATTTTCGTTTTTATCTTACTACCCGAGGAAACGTCTCAAGCATGGAAGAACGTTCAATCCTGACGTATTATCGAATCGTAGGAAATTTATTCCATAATTATCCATAATTCTCGAGCTAATGTTTTTGTTCAAGGCATCGTAGAAAGTAATAGATGGATGGATTACGAGAAACAGCTGTGCCCAACTCGGTCATACGGCTCTAGAATTAATCCTTTATTTTGCTCTGACAATTAGAGAAATAAATTTAGTTCGGGAAGGTGGTGGGAATTTATAGAGACAATAATATTTTATATTTAATGAATCGTTGTAAGTAAACTTATGCGTTTGTTAGTTAAACGATATATAATCTCTATAATTATTAAAGTTAAATATAGTTATTACAATAATTAATTTGATGTACAATCTAACGCATATAAAATTTCTTTAATTACATATATCTAAAATTATTTTAAATATATTTTAATGATTGCTTTATTCAACTACAAAGGAGTAATTTATATTTCAAAAATAGAGAAAATACGTAAACCCTGGTTCACATTTAATTAAAATAGACAAACGAACAAGATAATTAGCCAGAGTACTAATTAATTGCTTCTCTTTAGAGAAACGATTATCGAAAGAGAGAAAGAGCGGTCAATACTCTTCTTGATTCTCTGACGTTGCAGCTCTGACATATATACAACGACACTAATGCTGACGCCGTCTAAAAAGACGAGAAGGAAACAACGGAGAACATCGGATCGTGGTTATCAATTATCTGATGAACATACCAGCAGGAATTTCGGAAATGTCAGACTCAGTTCCTTTCTCCTTCTCCTCCTTTCCGATCCCTATGTTCTCCTTCACTTATCACCGATTGATATTTATCGACACTTTGTAATTACATGCCACGTTAACTAAATGTTCCCCATTGCAATTCTCATTACAATTATTGAACCCCTCTTTTTACGTGTTTTCTTATTTTCTTTTTATTTCTCGACAAACGAGTTCTCTTATACCAAATGTTATTTAACATCAACCCTTTCTTTTTTTTCTCTAGTATTCGATTTACTCTTTTATTTTTAATCACTTACAGAATTTACAGTACTGTTAATTAAAATCTCGATTCTCGTATTTTTATTGTTGTAACGTTTATATGTTCTTTGAAAAGTATTAACAAAAATTAATAAATGTGTTTTGCTAAAAATTTACATTCATGTGCTCTCTCTTATTTTTTGATTTAAAATTCATTTTTGATACAATTTTTCAACTCGTAAGTAATAGATAGAACGTAAAATGATAAATATCATAAATTCAAACAAATTTTTCCGCGAAATATCATCAATAAAAGTATCTCGTGTTATACGTATTCGTTTGAAAAATTTGTTATGTCCAATTGTAACGCTAGTATGTTTCTCTCGTAGATAGAGGAAAAATGAAAATTTAGCAATTTATAGACACTACATGATGAAATAAAATCCTTCTAGCAATAATATTTTTTTTTCATGCAAAGGTACTTATAGTTTTTCATGTAAAATCTTTTAATGTAAGAAATAAAAGTATGTTGGAGGTAAAAGAAAAGAATCATCAAGAAAGATTATGTTTCTACATTTAATATGACTCAATACATAGTACAGGTACAGTAAGAACAGACGACCATTAAATTCTATAATCACCGGATTTCTTTGATATATGATTTTTTGGTACCGGATTTCCTTTGATATATTTTTATTTTTTTCTCCATTAACTTATTTATAATACCAAGCAGAAAGAAAAACCATAAGTAATTTTTTTACAAAAAGAAAAAAAAAAGGATTACGAAGATGAGATAAAAAGAAAATCCATCCTTTTTATCAGTAATCTTCTTACGCATACGCATGAACGCTGGAATGTATTAAGAAATTATTCCCTTTTCATATAAGTTCTCTTGAATTAGTTTTTCATCAACGTTGAGAGATCATAAAAAACGCCAAAGAGTCAGGAGATTAATAGTTAATCATAAGATCATTGCATTTGTCCGTACCAAAATTTATAAGAAGATAATAAAATATAATGAGTGCGTTTAATCAATTATTTTGTTATTATAAGATGACGATGAAACGTTGATTGAACTTTAAAAATAATTTTTAAGCCAATAAAAATTTGTTTAAGCATAAAATATTTCTTACATTTCATAATGGATGTTAATTGAGCTTCATGAACTATTAAAAGAAAAACAATGGAATTAAAAAACAATAAGGAACAAAGAGTGATAGAAAACCATTTTATAAATGCAATACCGTAAACGGTAATGTTCTTTGGAATGTGAAAAGGAATTTTGGGCGAAAAGCATTAAAGGCAACGTAGGGAAGTACGGTGACGTACGTTTAATAACGGCACGGTGGCACCATATACTCTCCGCATCATGGTGCAGTAGTGATGTAACGCGCTTTAGAAAATCTTGGCCGAGGCACACGAGAAGAGGGTAGTTTATTGCATATTAGTCGGAGAACCGTAGATTCCTAAAGCACTCGACATTTTTCCTAGTCACCATGCGGACCAAGAAAGCTTTACGAATGAGTTCGTTGGAAATTGTCGACCTTGGAAAAGTAAAATTTTTACTTCGGCTTCTCGACTAATCCTATTATATATATTTTACATTTTTTTCTGCCGCCAAAATTATGTTACAAAATATGCTGAATTAATGAAAATGGATATAATTCAATTGCAGCTATTTATAGTTTCAAAATAATAAATGAAGATTATGAGGGAAATATGACATAAAACTAATATTATTTTATTCGCAAGTATTTCATTTAGTTTATTTCTTCGATATAGTAGTATAATTATAATACTTACGTATAGAGTGGCACTCCTGCTTCATCTTTAAACCAGAAAACCATGTGTAGAGTGTCCTCTCCTGGAGGAGTAATATCACATGGTAATTCCACTCGTTTTCCTTCAACAACACTGATGTTGACCAATGGAACTGTAAAAATAAAAATACTTTTTTTTGCGAAACATAACGACAGTTAGAAACAAACAATTGAAGTTTTTAATAGAAGTCAAGAATAGGGATATATTTTAATATGATTGAGATATAAAAGATTAAACAATATATGTATGTATAGCACTAGTTGAGGTGATCGTACGTAAGGACATTTATAGTGAGGAAGAATAAGGATGAAAAGAGAGAGAGAAAGGATGAAAGGAGGAGTGGGATAAAGGGAGGAAGCGTAAGCTCGGGAGTCAATTTCCTGAATTCGGTAGTCGGCGAAGCTTACACAAGAGTAACCCGGATTTCCTGCGGACGCTTGCTGTGCGTCCTTCGATTTCAGAAATCCAGGCATTCCGATGCGTCTGCAATTCAATGAGGATCGCCACGGCGGATATGTAAAACGCAAACCGCTCGGGTTACGATAGGATTAAGAGGAGCAGCTTATGAAATTTCATTTCCACAAGAGAATCGAAAGAAGAGTAGAAGAGGAGGAGTAGGAGAAGGAAGAGGAGTAGGGGGAGGATTACCATGAAACCATTTGGAACGCAAGGATGTTACCGTAAAACCATGCAGCATTGGGAAGTTGTAACGGACGCAGTGCGACGTTGATCGTGAAGAAGGCGTCTGTATAAAAGGAAGTAAGGGAAGGGGAAAAGAAGTGGAAGAGGTAAAGCTCGGTATGGTCAAGATGCAAGTGGAAACCTCGAGGGTCAGATCGTACGAGGAGGCCAATTCCTTCGTAAATTCCGGTAGGCTATTCCCGAGAAACGAGTTTCCATTCGATTTGGTCGACTGCCTTCGTTTTCCTTCCTTGGTGGATGGACGAAACAAGTAGCAAAGATACGAACGTCCAAGCAATGTTGTCCATCCGGGTCCCTCAGACTTTTTCTTACCGATCGATTTAAAAGAACGAGCCAGTGTTCATCTGATCGAAATCGATTTGTTACATAGTCTGATCTTCCTTTCTTTCGCTGGCCAACGAGAAAACGACAATGTAGGTAAAGATGTCCGAGTAATAGGCAAACATGGCGTAAAGCGAAAGAACATTGCATTTACATTGTTTTTTCTCCTTTTATCCTTTTTCGTTATTGACTTTGAAAATAACATCTTTCAATTTTCCCTTCAAGATGGTTATCAAAGACGAAAATTTACCAACTTAACCGACTTAGGACAAATATGTATTCCAATGAGTTTACTTATTTATATTCAACAGATACGTTGGCCAAGAGGGAAGCCGCGATAGGGCCATATATTAGCCACGAATATAGCATGCGAACGTGTAGTTTAAATACCAGAGGAGCCTTGAAAGCCGTTTCGATTAATGGAATTCCGCAACATGTCCGCAATTAACCCTCAAAGACCCGAGGCGTTGGGTGAAATGTCCAGCGCGCTAATGGTGAACGAGCCTCGTGTTGCATCCGAAACACATTTAATGAATTCATTATCGATTGAAATCAGCGGGCAACGAGAGGTGAACGAGGGAGAGGAGGATAGTTAGTTACCTGCCAAAACATTCGACAAAGATCCAACATATGAAAATTTCAAATTATCGACAATGCTACGTCACGGATGCAGATCGTCAACGTCGCGCTACGACGAACATAATATGAGTGAATTTACCATGAATGAAACTAATTCTTGGATAATAAAATATGTATTTTATTAATGTATTGACGAAGTAGAGTATTAACGATAAGCGATTGATGAACAAGTAAATATCATCAGATTGTATTATTATTTTTTATATTTAACTTTTTTATTTATCAATGAAATCTTATCACATTCAGACACTGCTATATCTAATCATAAGTTTTTATTATTATATTCTAAAATATCTTACGCTTAATGAGTCTCTGGGCATAACAACTCTTATCACTTGATTCTACAGTTAACTAGCTATATATCTCACAGTGAAATCAAAAGAAATATCGTTTTATATTTATTGTTGATCCTGACGTGTGTGATCACATTTCTGGCATACTTTAATACGACAAAGACCACTTGTACTATAACGACGGGGTAAGTTTTTTCTTTTCATTTTTTATCAGAAAGATAATAATTGTCAAGCGAATAAAAATGTGTTTGTCAAAGGGTTCTGAAAAAATCCGATTATTTTTACATATTTCAATTTACGTTTTATTGTTGGCATTGCATGTGATATTAATCTTTTTTGAAGGATTCGCAAACAAGTAAAAAATTAATTTCGATGTAATTAGTTTAGAACGAGAGAGAGAGAGAGAGAGAGAGAGAGAGAGAAAGAGAGAGAGATAGAACAAAGTTGTACGAGCGATGCTATAAATATGTCGTAACAACGTACATAGCTATGGAGACAATTTACGCGATGTATCACCGAACTTTATCGCAAAATGGAACCAATTACCGGCATAATTTCGCAAGAATGCTGTAACGAAAATCGATAATCGAAAATGATCTACACTCTAGTTGTTTGTTGAGCTTTCAAATATTTATAACGTTCCTGAAAGCATTCACGATAGAAGAGAGATAGTGGGAAAGGGAAAGATAGAGTTATGCTACGCATATAGCACATTGTAATTAACAATGAACAAACGAAGGTTTCTCATTGCATAAGTCATAAGAATATATTGTCTTTGATTTCAAACGAACGTATTCCTTAATGAAATTTTAATTGAGTGGCTTATATCGATAATCAAATATACTTTTAATAATTGCATATTTTCAAAGTATGTTGATTTGAACTAAAAATAAATCAAAACGGGAGAAATTGATTTCGTTTATTATAAACGAAAGGTAAACATCTCGGTACTTGAATAGTACTCTTAATAAACAACATCAATTAATTTTAGGAATGACTTCAGCTAATGTTTCTACAGTTAAACCCGTAACGAAGATCGATAATGATAGTTCTCGAAATTGTATTCGGATATCGATATCGAACAGGACGGATGACGGACGCAATGGAAACGCTTGGTCTTATCGCATTAAATGCACGACAAGCGTGTAACCATAATTCATACATCACGTGTTCGAGATGCATGATTAGAACGTCACGGTAATTGTAAATCTGAACGAGAGACGAGCAAAGACTTTTGCAAGTACTAGTTTTCTTTAGTAGTTTCAAACAATATTTATTAGTGTGCTAGAAATCATTACAACGATTGCGTGGAAAGAATAACGCCAAGTAAATGATACGACAATTTGAACGATAAACGTGTATCTTGCTTTCTTGCTATCATATTTGAAAAGTAGAGATAAAAGTTGTGACAAGAAAAAAAAATGCGGAAGAGAAAAAAGAAGACGAAAACGAAGATGAAGATGAAAAAGAAGAAGAAGAAAAGAAAATAAAGGAAAAGGAAAATAAATGTCAAAGTCGATACGAATTTTTCCCAAGAGTCTCAGAGTACGAGCTAAACTGATTCGAAAGTTGTTTCTATAGTGGGTTATGGAAGGCGACATAACATAACATAACATAGCAAAACATAATATAACATAACACAACATCATGCGATGTGATGGGAGGAGTTTTGACGTCCGCGTTATCAAAATAGAATACATTTGTGTCCAATGAATAAGATACATCAACTGTCATTTCATAAATCTTGTATCTACAAAGGTGCAGATTGATCGTAAGCATGTAATCGATATCATGATTATGCTTGAATCAGTTACGCATGAATATGGATGCTCTACGTTAGATCATCCCAAGTGCCAACGCAATTAAGCTAGCGTTGGTACTTGCAGAAGTCAATTCGATAACTACGTTAGCGTGCGTTATCGTGTAGTTCCGATTATCGTCGGAGCTATAGGAAAGGAGGACTAACGGGAGAAATTGCATTGGGGGAGGATATACGACGGATATAATTTATAGTTCCGCTACCATTAAATTGTACTAGGTAACGCTATTAAGGGAATCTATGTATATACTTGTGTAACTACCATTTAAACGGTCTCAACGAATACAAAAATAAATGCACGATAAACGTAAACGATCGATATATGTGAATGATTGAAATTATACTTCTGGGAATAAAAGCGTAAACTAAAAAAAAGAAAAAAAAAAGGAATGAAAAACATCGATCTATTTTTATTATAAATCGGTTATATGATCGAAATTTAATCTTTTATGCGTGTTAAATGCGAAAGGACAAATTTATTTCACTTGATTTTAGATATCATCTTTCAAAGATATAACCAACAACTCTCTTTTTGTCTGTGTGGAAAAATGAAAATAGTTTCAATAAAAATGTATATTTAACTTGTCGATATTACGTATCAGATACATACTAAACCATATCTCGTATAATCGAATAAATATAAAGGAAAAATTATTTTATAAAAGTGTTTATAAAATATATATTTATGAATGTCTATTTCAACTCCCATTGGAATTCTTTCAATAAGTTCTACTCACTTTTGTGACGACCGAGATTTCAGTATTGGCGAATTCATTGACTCAGATTTTCGAATATCGAACGTAGCAATCGAAATTGTCTCTCTCTCACTCTCTTCCCCACTTTCATTCGTTCTACAAGTCTATAACAGAGAACGAACCTTTTCACGATGACGAGACGAACGAAACAGTTTCATTTTAATCAAGCAGTCGATCCGACGATTAAAACACGTTGGCGCGATCGTACCTGGTGCGAATTAACTCGAAGCAAGAGACCAGTAGATGCGGACTATTACGGTCACAGTCGGTACGCTCGGATGGACTCGCGTATAGTGCGAATGGAGAGAGATAGAGAGAGAGACAGAGAATGAGAAAGGGAGAGAGAGAGAGAGAGAGAGAAAGAGAAAGCGAGTGAATGGAGATGAGAGAAGGAGAGAGGTGAAGGGATAGTAGGTCCGTTATTTAGGGGTATTTAAGTGTCCCGAGCAGCCCCTGCCATTCTCGAGCGATTCTACGGTGCAAGTCTCTTCAACTTGGCAAACCGTTTGCTTGCACCCAGCGTATCAGGCTGGCTATTGTCTACCGCCATTGTACCACACCCCTTTCATGCCCCTACCTCCTA